TTTCAACTCATCCAGATTCACTTCTTATAAACGTTTCCTATTAGGATTTTTTTTTTTTTTTTTTTTTTTTTTTTTTTTTTTGTGTCTTTGAAATGCAAGATAGGGGTATTGGGTCTTTTGGGNTTTTTTTTTTTTTTTTTTTTTTTTTTTGTATTTTTAGAGCTTGAACCTAAAACCTTTAATTATGGATGGATGGATCCAGAGGCAGATACACATTACCGCAAGCGGTGTCACGTGACACCGCTTCGTCAGAATTTTTATTAATATGTATATATAGATAGTATGCAAAATGAAAATATTGAGTATAATTAAATCTAAAAAATCGATACCAACTTTTATTATAGTAATTTATTTATTTTTTAAAATTTTAACACCGCTTATCAAAAATCTTGCGTACGCCCTAGCGGGATCTTTTCCATTTCACCATTACCGTTGGTGGTTTGTCATAACATCATCAAGTAGCAAAAAGACATATTTCAAATGCTCCAATATTTTATTTCAAATACTATGAAAAATAAATAGTTACACTAAACCTTGCTACTACTTGCCATTGTTGAACGCCTCCACAGATAGTGTCAAGAGTCAAGACTCAAGACTTTTAGCCATCATTATATTAATTGCTAGTATTTAAATATTGGGTTAAAGAATCTAATTAATTCAATGTACTGACTTAAACTTATAGTTACATTTCAAGATTGGTTGGATACATGACTTACACTAATTAATAGTTTACTCATTATTTGTTTGTTTGAATTATGGTATCTTAATCATCGAATTCCATCAAATAAAATATCAAATCAAATTCCAAAAACAGAAAACATTTAATTAGTCGGTGCAACGAAAAAACAGGTTAAATGTAGACTAAATGATGACATAATTTCTTCTTATCTTCTATCCTAGGCTGATAGGGGATAACAAGTATTCGATGAAATAATTAAGGTGCGCGCAAAATAACTCAGGCTAAAGTATGAGACATATTAGAAATTGGAAATACGAGCAATCTTGGTTAAAATAGCATGAGCTAGCCAGTTTTTGGACTGGTCATTCAAAAATAGCCAGCTTTTGCAAATTCATTGAAAAATAACCACTATTTTGCTGTAACACGGAAAGTTCCAGCATAATATACTGGAGATTGATGCACATGTGTATGAACTTCCAGCATATTATGCTGGAACTCCAACCAGCGGAAAGTTAATATACTGGAGATTGATGCACATGTGTATGAACTTCCAGCATATTATGCTGGAACTCCAACCAGCGGAAAGTTAATATACTGGAGATTGGAGCACCAGTGCTCCAATATTCTGTATATTATGCTGGACCGGTATATTATACTGGAGTTCCAATATATTATACAAGAGTTCCAATATATTATACTGAAGTATTTTTCCGAATTTTAAACAATATTTTCGTTCAGATTTATCTTTACATAAAAGGTGGCTAAATTTCAGTTACTTTAAAATTGTAGCTATTTTTGAACGACCATTTATAAATCTTGTTATTTTTGAATTTCTCCCGCAATCTTGAAGTTGCAGGCTGCGGCACATCAGAAATAACGCAAACATAAGCAAGCAGCCACAAATGACCATATCATTTTTATTATTAATAATATCCACTTAAGTGTAGAAAAAGAATAAGTAAATAATTGTCAGTAGCCGTCAATCATTTTCTTCTTATATTATTAAAAATATGATTTTCATGTTTTTTTTTTCTTTCTACCATTGGACTACAATTTTGGCAAGCAGTAGTCCACCATTGACTAGCTGGGACAGGTGCATCTAATTGCTTGAAAATACTCTCTTAAACTTATTTAGTTGGTCTCTGTACAACAACAATAAATCCAGTAATTTCTCACAAATAGGGTCTGAAAAAGGTAAGTTGCAGTGACGGACGCACGTGATAGTTGAACCCGCGTCATCAAAAAGTAATGTTGTGTATATGTATAAATTATGATTAAAACTGCATAAATTTGTATAAATATTTTATTTGAATCCACTTGACAATTATATTTTACGACTAAAGTTATGTACTTCTAAGATTGAACCTGCTTGCACAAAATTCTGGATCCGCCACTGGTAAGATGTATACAAGCTTACCCCTGTCCTGGAAAGGCAGAGAGGTGGTTTCCGATAGACCCTCGGCTGAAAAACGGATGGAAAAAAATAATGACAACAAGTAGGAACAACGACGAGATAAAAATATGACCGAACCCAAGAAAGCAGTTAAACTAAAGGTGTTAATCGGGTCGGGCTGACCTGCTAACAACCCGGTTCAACCCGGGTCAGCCCGTTACTGTGCATATGCGTGCGGGTTGGGACGGGTTGGACGGGGGGCGGGCTAGTAACGTTAAGTTTTCGCCAAACAGGTACCCGAACCCGCCATAACCCGTTAAGGGCTTAACGGGTTCTTAACGGGCCTCAGCCCGGGACAGCCCGCAAACCCGCCTAATTTTTTATTTTATTTTTAAAATTAAATCTGACCGTTGCCAACGGTCAAATTTCAAAAATGACCGTTGGCCAACGGCCAAATCTGTCAAAAACAGCCAAAATTTGGTATTTTATTTATATTTTAGCCCCCCCCCCTTTATAATTTATAAATTGCAATTGATTCCTTTTAAAAAATTATAAATATCTGTCACACCTCCCTTTTTTTCTACACCCCGGAAAGGGCATATAAGGAGTTTTTTCCAATTAAAGGACAATCGAAACGGGATTAATTATTTAAAGATTCAGAGTCGCCACTTGGGAGATTTATGGTGTCCCAAGTCACCGATTTAATCCTGAATCGAGGAAAAGTTTGACTCTGTATTACAGTCAGCGAACCATAAATCTAGGTAAGGAATTCTTTTAACCTGGGAGAAGGTGTTAGGCATTCCCGAGTTCCGTGTTTCTAGCACGGTCGCTTAACAATTTATACTTGGCCTAATTATCTGACTTATTACATGTTTTAAACTTATCGTGTATTTTTAGCTTTTATAACCGCTTTTAGCTTAATTATAGAATTGTCTTGAAACGAATCACGCGTACGTATATTCGTTTTATTTTTGTATGTAAGCAATCATGTCACGCGTACGTGTACATAATTAAATTAATAACATTTTTTATTATAAAAATGAATTTGGCCGAAGTTGCGCGTGCTTAAAACAAACTACGAACATTTGTCATTTTTGTATGATTAAATGGTAGGCGGCGCGCCTCGGACTATATGAGCTAATTTAATTTAATAACCGCCGAAAACCCATTTTTATTGAGAAGATTTGCTCGAAGTTGCGCGAACGCATACTCCGAATTGTCTTTAGAATTGTAATCATGTCACGCGAACGTGTCCACAACCACGCTAGTATTTTATTAAGATTAAGATTGTTTCGCCCGATGTTACGCGAACGTATACTCTGATTTTTTTCTTTCAAGAAATCGTAACCGTGTCACGCGGACATGTCCACAATCACGATAATATTTTAAACGGCCCTAAAGGTTTCTCTACGAATGTTTATTATTTTTATATCTACATTAATACGAGAGTCATGGGAATTCGCTGAATGGCGCGCCTCGATTTCCAAAGAATCAAGATTCATTAAATGATGGTCATAGGTTATATGATTTAAATGTGTGAATGACACGCCTCAAAACTATTCAACTAGAAGAATTAAGGAGATAATAAAAACTAATTTAAAATTAAAAACCACAACCACACCGCGAAAACAGTACCCGTGATTTAATTATGTGCCTAGAGCTTGATCACCATATTCATAAGTTGTTTGTTCTCTTCCTATACTTGAGACCAATTGTATGTATTTAAAACTTGCAAAATGGTTTACGTGTAAAGTTGAGAGAAATTTTAGCTGATATGCATACCATTTGTTTTATGAAATAATCGTCACTCCACCCAGAGCAAACTCAACTTTGTATATCCTCTACTTAAAATGCCGAAATCAGTACTCATAAACCCAATCCTCTTCTACACATTTATTTTTAGTCTAAATCCTAATTATTCTGTTAATTCGCTTATGACGATTGGGTCTTAGACGAACAAAATCAAACCAATTATTGTCCAAACCTGTGAAGACTATTTACAACTACCAAATCTATACCTTGTAATAATGTTGACATTATTTTTGTTATAAGAAATGGGCTAATTGCACTCCTAAAGCAAAATAGGCAATTTATTGTTAAGAAGAAAACTAGTTTATAAATTGATTTAATAGACAAATTCACACTACATATACCACGAATACACAACTGAATCTTTGAGAATACTCCAATACTTTAAGCATAATGGATTATATCAATTTACCTTCAACTTATGGTTATCCCAATAACTGTTATTATACAAGATTACATACAAACAAGAACACTTATCTCAACTAGAATTAAAACAAAATTCCAATGTTTGACGAAACATACTATTGTGGTTCCTTGATATTTCCATACTACCATACACTTAGCTAATAGGGCTTAAACACGAAATTTAACTAATGGCCAACATTCTACCAAGTTCCCCATAGTGTGAGCTTTTCTTATTATAGAAGAACCAGACTGCATATATTGCAAATGAAGAGGAGTTTGTCAAGAAATGACAAAAACAATGGGGTCGTCTGGTTTGAATACCGCTTATGTCAGAATAAGTTATGATAGGATCAGTTATGCTGAAATTATTTTTTATCCATTGTTTGGTATGTTGTATTAAATATAACAATTGCATAATTTGTAAGAAGAATGTATAAGTTATACTGGACCCCACCCTCTATAAGGTATAAGTTATCCCGGTGTTAATTTTAATCCTGAGATAACTTATATATGGTTTGCTAACCAAACGAAGTATTAAGGTGGTATTAAATTTTTATACCAGCACAATACCTTCTTATACCTCGTACCAAACGAATAATGTAAGCAAGATATAAAAAGAGACAGAATTTTACTAAGCAGGTGTGCTGTCTTCACTTAATTATTATCCTACAAATAAATCAACAGGATTATTAAAATTGAGTTTGGACTACCAAGTTTTAGAAAACCTTTTGGCAAAATATTTTGAGGAAAAGTTCTGTGCTTGGATTACAAAGAACATAGTTTGCAGCAGGGAGAGACTGAGGACATCTCTTGCTTTGATACAATAGTAGACCATAAATGAATCTAAGCACTGGCTAAATAACATACTCTTTTACAAGCTCTATTTGCTGATACACATTGAAGGTTGTGTCAGAATTGGAGTAGTTATTCCAAGAAATGTTTAGCCTTTCGAGATGAGAGAGTTGGATGAGGGTGCTATTGGAATCAATCATCCCCGTTGGCAGGCTGCAATTACGGTCTAGTTCAATCACTTGGCCCGACATCTCATCACATTTCATTCTATCCTATAGGCAGTAAGCTGCGCTCATATTCCATGAAGTTATTTTGGATAAGATTCTAACTATTGTAATGACAAATACTAGATGAGGGACCTACAATAAGCGTTTTGTTGAATTTTAGTAGGTAAATGCTTTGATATTTGGGGCACAGTTGAGGCACGGACGAAGAAATCTAATCAGAAAAGAGCATGGTCGTCTAGTATTTGTGGTTAATATGGTAAGAAATCTTATCCAAAAACATTATCATGGAATATGAGCACGGATTGCTGCCTATGGGAAGGAGTGAACTGCGATGAAATGTCAGGCCACATGATTGAACTTGACCTTAGTTGTAGCCTGCTTACAGGGGACGATTGATTCCAATAGCAGCCTCTTCCAACTCTCTCATCTCAAAAGGCTAAACTTTTCTTGGAATAACTTCTCCTATTCTCACATCTCAGCAGATAGATGACTTTAATTGTATCTACTAAGAAAGTGGCAATTGCTGATACACATGTTAGAGCTGGGGGTGGATACTTCCAATCAATTGCTGGTCATGAGTCACTAGTCAGTCACCAAATAATCCCTTTGGGTTTGCCAAAACTGCACTTTGTTAACTAAACATTGGAGGCTAGAGTCCAAAGTAATCTGTGAGCTATACAGATGCATTTGCCGCCTTCGCCTGGTGTCAAGAATTTCCTGATAAGGACATGACCACATGAGCCAAATATTAGACACAGAAAATACAAATAAAGAGGAAAACAATTTACAAAAAGATAATGAATATAGAAAATTAAGTTATAGAAATGTTAGGTTAACAAGAATACGAACAGAGCAGATATTTCTAATGCCAATAAGATTCCAAAAGAATGCTATACAGTTCAAGCAAGTGCATGGTTTCATGTCATTTTATATCCATATAAGATTGTGTATCGAGAAGAACAATATTGGCATGATAAATAAACATCAGAAGTTTTAAAGATCTCATGGCATGACTAGGTCCTTATGATGACCGTTTTTAGTTGTAGCACAACCAGCCAGCTGAAAACAGTGGCGATTTTTGCATGGGATAGCATTTCAACACTAGAAAATAGACATAGTTGGCTAATACTGTATACCATTTCATGACTGAAAAGTAAAATGAATTTAATGATATATCTACAATGGTTGTTTGTAAGGGAGGTCAAATATAACATTCAGCTAAGCAAGCTAATTTAATAAAGCACTTCATAACATTTAAAAGTATTGCTGGAACCTAGATTTATTCGGCTATAGATCTACCAAAGTAGATAATGAGTAAAGTGAAGAACTCAAGGTTAAAGAGCACACCGTTAAGTCAAAGTTTCGAAGCCCTCCCCTATGATCATGTATAGGAACTGATCCTTCTCCACTCTGGTATTTGTTTCTATATTCTGTCTGAGCTATACCACCGTCATCTTTTGATTTTGACCTTTGACTTTTTCTGTACCAAAGACCATAAATTTTAATCTTGGGCCAGGTCTTCCCAAAACCTCATTGTTTTAATTTCTTCTGATGTATCAACCTCAAATACAATCTAAGTGATCTGCTTCTGGATGTTGTAACATTTAACAGTTCCAACCAGAGCAAGTGATTCAATAATGGCCTGCAGAAGTAGCTCGGGGAAATCTTCGACATGAGCAAGTCCATGATGGTTTTGCACTGAATTCAAAACCCTACCAACTATCTGAAGAGAATAAGAAGACAAAATTATGATACTGCCAAGTATTTACCCTATGCAGTTGATTCGATAGACTACAATAATTTACATGATTGGCAATAAGAGACCAACCTTTCGTGCATAGCCACCAAAGGCCACACCAGCGATCAAAGCATTTGGTGAATGTAAGGAACTCGAGGGAATTTTCTCATAATCTGAAGCCTCTGAAGAAATGTGCAAATTGATATAAAAATTTCAGTGTTATGAGGAACATGAACTTAATAAAGTGTTAGCTGTGGAGTTAATACCATGCATGGTTGTTGTTTGGAATAATCTCTCCTTTTTCAAACCCTCTATAGTGTGAGCATTTGTACCTCCCGCCAGTTGAAGGAAACCTATGGCGTAGGAAGAATCTTCAAGTTGCACCAGCGAGTATTTTATAGCAACAATGAGTTGTTGCAAGCAGTAGCAAACGAATTAGCGGATACCTTTAGGCTTGTTTTCAGCAGAGGCCAATTTTTGTGCAAAAGCAATTGCATCTCTCGTGGCACCTCGCCCAATATCTCCACTCATAGGTCGACCATCCAACTTCAATCATGATAATAATTGGAAATTGTGAGAAATATCTTTGGAGAGTCCTAGCTTCTAAATCAGTATAGCAATAGGACGCATGATCTGCACCTGCCATAAGTTTAAGCATTGTATGTTGGTTTCCATTACGGAGTACATAGCTTCCATCGCCGATATGGTTGAATCTCTCAAGTCTGGAAAGCTAACCTACAGGAAACCAAGATAAAAACAAATTATTAACTTACTTTTTTGAAATGGAATAATTTTTTTTTAAACTTACTAGATGATATTATTTAATTTAGCCATCAGAGATCAGAAAACGAATAACAGCTTCACATACTGCCACGAGCTTCAGATTTGCAGTTGAGTTCCCCAACCCAGTCCAGAGTTCTCTAAATACTGCAGGCACCCTATTCCAAAAATGAGAATGCAGATAAGATACAATTGCTAGCTACAAAATGATGCCGCTTTGATAATGTGACCTCGACTCTTGAAAACCATGGAAGTAGAACTTTTATCCTTAAAAACTTACGAAATAGAACCACGTCTACATTTTATTTGTGATTTTGTTGTTAAAGAATTTAGAAAACAAAAGTCAGAGTGTATTACAATTTACAACAATATATCTTGAGTAACCTATTCTACGGGTTAAGTTTGTGCTTCAATAGAATAAGTAGTGAAAGTCAAACTTGAATGATTTCGGGGAATATATTAACCAAAATATTTTTATGCTAACCTTCCACTGGTATGAATTTCTATGGCATCAACATCATCCCTTTCAAGAAGTTCAGCTGTAGCAGTAACATCTCTCACATATGTAATAGCTCCTAAATCAACAAAATAATTTTTCATGAATGCAATGGGCACGTACAAACAACAATGCTAAAATTAAAGGGAACAGAGGTAATGGTGAAANGGGGATGGAGAGAATGACCAGATTAATGGAACTCACTTATTTTGTCATAAGGACAAACCGGAAGGCAACGACCACAACCGTAACAGCGCTCAGCCAAAACTCCGCCCTGCTATAGTTACAGATGTAACGATTAGAAATGAACATGAATAAACTTTAAAATGAATATAACAGGGGATGGCAACAAGGTTAAGTGTATGATAGATAAAATCAAGGGAATTGGAAATGGAAAGAACCTTTTGCAATATTGCACTAGCAGGACAGACTTTCTCACAAGGTCTTGTGCAATCCTGAGGGCAATCATCCGGATCAAATTCTGCCACAATATCATACGAAACAGGAGTATCAAATTCAATCGTCTTATTTTGGAATACTTCCGGTGATCTATGAGTAATCCTTCATGGTAAAAATACAACCTCAGGTCTTTGAGCTAATTTTCTCAGTACCATTCATTTTTGTACATAAAGGGTTGCTGTCTTCACATTTTATGAGATTGACAAATAATAGACTCAATTGAAAACGAACTTGCATTATAAGCTACTCTGTTTACTAAACTAGAGTAGTTTTAAGCTAAATTCTTCTCCTCAGGTGGTTCTTCGTTCAATTTTTGGAAAATACTTTAAAGCTCACTAAAAGAAGGACATTAGGAAGGCTGAATACGGACGACAAGTTCTTCAAAACAAGAATATCCAAAGTAAAAATATACTCAATCAAGTTAGCATTTCACAGTTTCTAATGCTTCAGAAGATTATACACTCCAATCAGAAGCCTATTATCTTTTAATAAACCGAGAAACCTTGAGGGTCAGTAGCACATGGTTCAAAACTCGGTGGATAACGGGCCTACCCCTCTAACCTTCTCCACTTAAATATCAGAGTTTTGGTGACAGCAGGTTTTTGTCTACGGCAGGGTCCCAATCAGAAGCCTATTTATACAAAACAAAAGCAAGAAATGTTTACCCCTACATCAGGTAACCAAGATTATTGAGTCTCAGAGAAGACAAATGGTGGTCGGAATCAGGGTGTGGGGAGAGTTACCAGCTTTACGGAAATGAAGATCTTCATCGTCATTAACACTGATCATTATCCAAGGCCTGCGAATGGGCACAATGGCTCTGGCTGCTTCTACTCCTTCGCTTACAGCATTCACCACCGACGCCTCAGCAGCACAGTCGATGCAATCAACTACAATCAACACACAAACTCACCAATCCAATCCTATGCAAGAAGTACTAGTGCCAAAACTATAAAGAGACAGTTAATGATTCTNAAAGAGATAGTTAATAATTCATTTTTCACCTCCAGCAAGAGTATAAACCAGAGAAAGGTTCCTGATGTCGACCAAATCCTACAAAAACCAATAAAGATACAATTGCTTAAATAACTTAACATGTTTATGCATTTTGTATAATCTTCAAACTTAGTTTGTACTAGCTTCGTTACACTTTATATGACAGTATTCGACTGCAGATGGAGATTAAGATGCGAACTTTAACTCTATATATATGTATACAGATAATATTAGTGATTACTATAACAGAAAAAAGATCAGTGATAGTAGAAAAAAATATGAAAATGCTACTACAACTACAACAACAACAAAACCCTCAAACCCAAACTAATGACCATTTATTAAAATAATGATTCAAATCAGTTTGATAGATAAACATATCATCAAAGTTCAAGATTTGAATATAATAATGAATTTGAACTCTGCCAAGTGGTGAAATTTATACAAAATTGAAATAGTATCAAACATTTTGAGGCAATCCTTAAACGATAGAATGTCATATAAACTGGGATTGAAGTAGTTGAATTTAATACATAGTCCCTCTGTCCCAATTTATGTGGCATTGTTTGACTGAGCATAGTGTTTAAGAAAGGAAGACAACTTTTTTGAAACTTGTAGTCTAAAACAAGACTTAGACATTTTCTTTTTGAAAAATTCCCAGGGAAACCCTCAGTCCTTGCCCTTTGGGTGCGCACGGGGTAACCTGCTCACTGTGCAATAGCTCGCAAACCACATAGGAGACGTAAACCGCACTAGGCAAGCCCGTTGCGACGAGCTCTGACTAAGGGCAGGGGCGGATGTAGAGTTTGGCCATCGGGTTCATCTGAACCCAGTACTTTCAACACGGAGCATATATTTATGTGTAAAAATTCATTAAAATTGCACTAAATAATAGGTCTGAACCCACAATTTTAAAAATATAATGGATTCAATGCTAAAAATCTTAAAAGTTGAAACCATAAAATCTAAATCCTGGATCCGCCTCTAACTAAGGAGGCTGCTGGCGAAGGGAATCAATTCCAGGTGTGGGAAATCACTCACCCAACCAACTCAACAAACCTTGAGGGCAAGATATAGACATTTGTATGGCTATAAATTTAGTAAAAGCTTAATGTTAAAATATTTCTAAATATAGAAAGGTGTTATCCTTTTTTTTTAACAAAACGAAAAGGGAAATTGTGTCATCTAAAATGGGACAGAGGGAGTAAAAATAAGCTCAAAAGAAAGATCAGGTGCAGAAAAGTGTAAAGGTGAAGTCTTTAGAGTAAATGAGGGGTTAGGTGAAAACCTCAAAGCTAGCACCACAAATGAGCTTAACCCAATTGCCTTTTTGGAGAGATTCAACAGGAGAATTACTGATACAAGGAATCACTGTTTTCTTTACGATGCTTTTCACTTTCTCAAGATCATTGTAGCTGCTGGAATTAAGCGGAGCTGTAATAGAGATACCAGATAATTAATTCAAGAAAACTGAAATAAATAAAAGGAAATATTAACTGAAATCCCATATGATGATAGAATAGAGAGAATACCTCTCAATTTGGTACTAAGTGAAGCATAGCAAGGAATGCTCAGAGCCATCATCTTGTTACGATAGTAGCTCCGTTTGGCAAGAATCTGTGATTACTCTTTGTTATCTGAAAAATCTCACATTTTTTTATATTACAAGATTACCCCCTTTAACTGTTTGAAAATAATATTAGTAACCCCTCTATTTTATCGAAAACAATATTAGTAACCCTCTATTTTATGGAGTATAGTTTTCATCTTTTTGTTAACTCCATTTTACTGGTTTCATTTTAGGATAAAACGTTTTATGTCGAAAGCAATTACACACTCATAATTAAACTCCAAATGTAAGTCTGATTAAGAAAGAAAAAGTACTAATCACACCATTATAATCTTGGTCGATAATTTATATTATGTCTAGTGTCACTAAAACATAGATATTAATTATAAATATTTCTCATTCGTATTTTATAATGGATATACATAGTAACAATTTTATTATGAATCTCTTTTATTTTTTTCCTTTGTGAATCATTTCTTGAACAACACCACCTATCTTAGTCACATAGATTGGGGTTAGAGGCTAAAAAATTAATTCTAGTTCTGTGTATCTTTTGTTTGATTTTATGTATCTCGAAATTCCAATATTGAAATAATTTTAGACATTATCCTTTACTTCATTTAATGAGCTAAAATGCTTTTTTCACTAATCTTATGCAAATAGAGAAATAACTTTTGTTTCTTTGCTAAGTACCTCTTCAACCTTAAAACCCTTTTTTTTCCTTTTGTTTGCTAATTGAAAATGAAAAGTAAAGCAAAGTAAAAAGTTACTAGAATTAATCCCATTTATGCTAGGCACGAGTTATCCTATTACACAAGGTATTCGTTTCAAGAATTAACTAATTATTAGAAGACAAATGAAAGTTTAAGTAATAGGTGATAATTAACTAATTATCAAATAGGTGATATTGCAATAATATTTATTTGACTATAAATTTTTTTTATTAATAGTAAAATGAAAAGTTTAAGTTTAAATAATAACCACTTTTAAAAAGAGGTCATTTTTCCGGAATATATCAAGAAATAGGGAAAAAAATTAGAACTACTTAACATAATGCTAGAAGAATTAATCCAAATAGCAGTTTATTCAACTACTTAAATTAAAAATAGTTGGATGTGTGCAATCCATATATAATGTGTACACTCATGCATAATTAGTATATATATAGAGAGAGGGGGAGAGAGAAAAATAAAATAAACAGTAAATTCGATCCGATTATTTGTATAAAGATTCACTTTATATAATGACGCCACTTTTGGTTCCAAAAAAATGGAATAACCTTTGTTATTATAAAAGCAAATACCAGACTTAGCGATAACGAGAAAAGGAAGAAACACATAGCTCTCTTCTCGTTTTCTCTTTTTTAATAACATGATGTTAAACTAATGTAAAAATAAACTACACAGAATACTTAGAGATTTGATTAGCAAAACTTGGCAGACTTAACGGAAAGAGCGTACATATATGTATTTGAGTAAGTAAATCTGATAATTTTTCCAAACTTCAAAGGTTTTCCTCCATTAACCAAACAATCATCAAAATACAGTCTTTTAAAAATTGTTGGATTGACCAATCTTGCAGATGCAAATGAACCACAGTTGAGATGAATATTAGAGGCTGCACAATTTGTAGAACAAGCGTTCACAATCTCAACTATGTACTCTGGAATTCCATGGCCATTTGAAGTTCTGCTCTGGTAAATTCTTATATCTTTGCCTGTGCAAATCACTGTCATAATTGCCAAAAATAAAAAAGAGTTTAAGTTATTTGTATCGACTATATAATACGTACGTATATATAATAGTTTTACAACATTGAGATCATTTTGATCGTCTTTTCATTATAAGATTCTTCCAAACAAATTTTATCCAGTCAAGACTGTTTAACGTATCTCGTAAAGAATCTCGAGTTGGTTGCACCACGTTACATGCATTTACTAATCTAATGGTATATTTAACAAATATGATGTAAGAACGCTTAAAAAAAGTTGATAACATGTTAAAATATATACTACCGTCAAAAATTTGTACTATTGCATATTGACAGCATTGTTTATGTACTTTAACATGTTGTAATAGGTAAAGCCTTATTCTTTTGGTTACATGTAGTTTTGATTGAGTAAAAATCCGTTTACATTTTTATAATATATGTAGAAGTTAATATCAATAAGAATTAGTGTGTGCGTTAACAATATTGAAAATTTTATCAAGTCACATAAAAATACTACTCCGTTAACAATCAATTTAAGATTTGATTGTTTAATTTGTACTGTGTACTAGATAGAATCACAGATACTTTTAGAAGGAACTTGTACATAGTAAAAGGATTTAAAATATATACAATCGAGAGGAAACAGAATTAATAATTACTCCATAAAGATAGAATATTTTACCTGCATCCGACAAATCTTTTCTGTTACCAGACTTATCACTCAAGTAAAATTCACAATTGCATCCTATAATAATATTCATGACAAAAGAGAAACAGAAGAAGAAATTCAAGAAATGGCTCATACTTTTAAAGTATTTTAGTTCTCAAGGAGAACGACAATACAAAGGAAAAATGCTTACAAAAATAGTGAGGACTCAGAGTTTAAATAGCTAGAAAGATAATCGTTAATTTTGCAATACCAAAATTAAACTTCGTAATTACTGCTAATTTTTAGTCAATCAGTTATATTGGAATAAGAAAAAGTACTTGTTACTGCTATTTTAATTCATAGTCAAAAACCATTAATTTAACTATAGCAAAACGTTCATTTTTTACCTCCATTTATTTTGTATTAAAGAAGAATAAATAATGCCTAACAATTGATTGACGTGAGTCCTCCTCCTCCTTTGGTGACAAAATATATTTTTATTTGCAGAAGATATTTTCCACAACTAAAGATAATTAGTATATTGAATACATCGGAAGCTAGCTAGAAAGAATTTGAATTAAGAAATTTAATAATCAAAAGAAGTGATCAATCTTTTTGTGAATACAGCAATGGTAAGGTTTTGAAGCATTCGCCCGGAATATGAGCAAATATATTATTTCGATTGTTCAATCATACTTTGGCTATCTTACGTGTAACTAAAGTAAATTTTTTCGGTGTTCTTGTTGAAACATGTGCGAAGATCCATGAGTTTACTACCGGTCCATGAATTCGAAATGTGCATTTGGACTATATTTACTATATTAACTTGTAAAAGTATGTAACCGGCAGAAGGGCAAGGCCATGGATTTGGGGCCTCATTTTTTAAAAGGGAAAGGGTCAAATATACACTTTTACTTTGATATATTATTCATATTTATTATCTGTTAAACTATCGGGTCAAATCTATCATCACCGTTAGCAAATTTTCAAATTTACCCTCTAACCTAACGAAAAGCCCCAAATCCCTTCTATTTACTGTAATTCTTCTTCACAAATTAGTCATCTTCTTCGTGTGATCCACCAGAGAAGAAAAAAGGTCCATATTATAGAAATGGGAGTGTAGAGTTACATCATAATTATTTTCCTTGTCTCTGGTTATGCTCAAACCATAAATGAAAGGTAGAATTCACAGTTTATGGGTATGTCTCCAACAGAATAAAGATGAATGAAATACCGTACATAATTTGGAAGAGATTTTTTTTATTCTTTCGGTGGTCGAAATGCATTCGCTTATGAAGTTGTTACTAATATTTATTATTTTTTATGGACCACAAGCATAACAAGGCCGTAGGTATCCATGTAAATGCATTCCCTTTCGGATTTGGATTTAGCATGTCATTTGATGCAAATTTTGCTTGCGCAAGCACTTCTGCATGAAAATATGTGACATATGATTTTTTTAGTATTGTCTGAGAAATCCTAAATTAAATGACTGTTTAAATTTATATCCAGCTTCAGAACATCCTTTCAAAGGAATATTTACTAGTGTTCTCATGCTTGTAGGTGGCGAGTTTGTTAAGTCTTCCTTCTCTAAATAATCAAGTGGAACAAGAAATCAACTTGTCGAGAATAATTTCTTCTCTGTTATAGCACACATAGGGATAAGTAATTTGTGAGAAATTATTTTAGTAAATAGAATGGATTTGGGATTTTGGGGCTTTCCGTTAGATTAGAGGGTAAATTTGAAAACTTTGCTAACAGTGAGGGTAGATTTGACCCGATAGTATAATGAAGGGTCTATGTGAACAATATATCAAAGTATAGGGGTATATTTGGCCATTTTCCCTTTTTAAAATTATATTTCTATGATTGATTTTGTAACGACTCGACCGATCGTTATGAACTCTAGCCTGTCGTTCGGCGGTTTGAGGCCTTGAGTAGCTTCACTTAAGGTATTATGACTTTTACGTGTGGTTGAAGTTTAATTTCGGGAAGTTCATGATTTATCCGGAAAGAAAATTATAATTTCGGAAGCTTTAAGTTGGAAGAATTGACTAAGATTTGACTTTTGAGTAAACGACTTAAAAATCGAGGTTTCAAGGCTCCAAGAGGTTCGTATGATGATTTCGGACTTGGGTGTATGTTCGGGTTGAGTATAGGATCACCCGGGAGTATTCCGGCGCTTATTATAAACGGTTGGCATTTTAAAGGTTTAAGAATTTCATGAGTTTGATTTGAAGTGGATTTTGATGTAATCGATGTCCGTTCGGGGTTCCGAACCTTGGAATAGTTTTTTATGTCATTTGTGACTCGTGTGCGAAATTTAAAGTCATTCCGGATTGATTTGGTACGGTTCGGCACATGATATAGAATTTGGAAATTTAAAAGTTTGATTCGAGGCGCGGTTCGTGATTTTGATGTTGTTTGACGTGGTTTAAGGCTTCGACTTAGTTCATATTGCATTTTGGGACGTGTTGGTTATTTGGTTAATGTTCTGAGGGCCTCAGATGGATTCCGGATGGTTAACAGATTGATTTTTAGACTTAAAAAATGCTGAAGCTGGGTAGCAGCTGGTGTGATCGCTTTTGTGATGTCTTGGTCGCATAAGCGAAATGGGAAGGGACTGGCAGTGGTCATAGGTGTGAAGATTTTCCCGCGTCTGCGTGACCGCAGAAGCGGCCCAATCG